TTTCCATTATAATATACAGGGTCGGATTTACCTCTTTTCATGATATAGCAAAACACATTTTTGGGCCCCCCTTCTCTATTAATATAAAAGGCCTAATATTACCACCCAAGCAAACAAAAATGTTTCTTAATCAGTGGAAATGTTACAGTGTTTTCTATCACAATAAGCGCTTGCGTTCAGTCAATAAAAATCGAATGTAGCTCTTAATTTGTTTGAGAACTCAGAAAGACCATTCCATTAATAGGTGTGGCGTACCACTTCAGGAGTAATTTCTCTAATAATTTTAACGGCCAGGAGGAGTCCCAACCACACATCAAGACATTGTTCTGATGATTTGTTTCAAGACATTTGACATGTTTCCGTCCTGAAATGTGTTGAACTTTTTTTATGCACCTCCCCAAACCTTCCATTGCAAATGCCAAAACATCATTTTAGAGCTAAGAACAAAGGCTTGAGCCATTGATATGCAGGCTAATGTAGTTATGAGAGAGAGAGATATTAAGTGCATGTGAATACCTGCGTCTGTGCGTCTCTCAGAAGTGTTCAGCAGCAGCATCTACTAATAGTGAATCTTTAAGTTAAACTGCTTCAAGAACCTCCCTACTGAGAAATATCATGTAGCTTTTCAGCTGCGAAACTATTTTATTAAATTCGCGGGGCGGTGTTGACGACAAGTTTCTGTCCGCGTGTGTGCGCGAGTGTGTGTGCGTTTATTTGCTCAATGTCTTCTGAGGTTTTGGTTCTTTTATTGTTGTAGATAGCCCATAGTATAACAAAATATTAGGCTATATATCTCTTCATTGTGTTTGGGCCCCCACTGGACGAGTGAGCATAGGCACGTGCCTAGAATGCCTATGCGTAAATCCGGCCCAGATAATATACAAAGGCACATCGGCTGGCAAACCATTAGGCAGCACATAATTAGGAGTCTATTTAAAGGGAATGACTGTGATGGGGAGTTTGGTCAAACTATGACAGCGAACAGTGGCGGCTCGCGGGTTTTAAAATAGAGGAGGCACACTAACCGTATTGGTCTGGGATCCCTGCCGATTATTATTATTTGCTTAACCACTTTACAATGGCTTTTTGGTTGCTTTTAGTCAGAAAACGTAAAGAAAATGACACTCATACAGCAAGATAATATAATTTCCCTTACATGGCCTATCACTTGAAGCAAACATCCATCCCTTCTTAAAAGTCTGTGTTAAAAGAGAGCCGCCTGTTGTGCCATTTAATTAAGCCGACTGCTGTAACATTAGCCCATATCCAGCTTAGGCGTGCTTTCCCTTTTTTTTTAATTTGTGTGTGTGTATATGT